CAAAGAGAAAGGAAAACTTGAAATCGCATCATATGACCCCTTTAAGACTGTAGGACGAAATGGTTTGGAAACAAAGGAGGTGTTGAGGTCAGGAGAAGACACCAAGATTGTGTTCCATTAAAGTGGTATTTATTTACAAGGACAATGTGCTCTAAATGGTTCTGACCGAAAAATTAATGATGCCCAGGTAATGAGACACTTCACTTAACAGCTCTGTTTCATTTTAACGTTTTATGACTTTCAGCATCTCCAAAATAGTTTCTCCACTAGCTGCATGGACCATCGATACTCTGCTTCCTCGTAAGCGAATCAAATGGGACTCTCGTTCGGGATGGAAAATATACCGTGATAGTTAAACTAACCCAGCCACAAAATCCCAAACTCCTAATCCTGAACAAAATTGCACATCCTCCTCTCCTCCTGCATGTTCATGAGACTAAAGTTGGAAAAAAAAAAGTGAGCGGAAAAAGATTTACAGCGGGGTGAAGTCGAGGGTCACTCTGCGAGCCCCGCTGGTCCAGACCTTGCATGTTCATGAGACTAAAGTTGGAAAAAAAAAAGTGAGCGGAAAAAGATTTACAGCGGGGTGAAGTCGAGGGTCACTCTGCGAGCTCCGCTGGTCCAGACCTCAGGTGGTGGGTCTACAAGGTCAACAGCCTGTGAAGCTCATTTCCACTGCAAATCTGCTGGAAGAGGGGTGGGAGAGGTGCAACGGAGGGTTATGGAGGAAAAGATGGAAATTATATAAAAAGAGGAGGAGTGAAAGGATGATTTGAGAGTGAAAGTTCAAAGAGTCAAAGGTACAGAACAGGAAGATTTTGAAGTGCTTGAAACAGAAGTGCTTGACCAACTGCCAATCACAGGGCTTAATTAAAGCAATCTGAAGAAAAGGGATCCGAATGAATAGAAAGAAAACAGGCTCATTGGATGGTATTTATTAAAAAATGTTTTAAAAAAATTAATATTTTGAAAAAGGAAATGAAATTCCAAAGCCAAATGATGATAATTATATAATAATAAATAGCCTACATTTAAAATAATTATTGCAAAAGGTGTGTTTTATATTTAACAATAATACTGGATGAACAAAAAAAGGACTTAATATTTATAAAAAAAAAAAATACTACTAACAAAACGTACGTGTAGCTTTAATTACATATTGTCATATGATCAAACAGCTCGTTTGAACACTGATTTAAGCCTAACAATTAATTGTGTTTTTGATTCACTAAAAGAACTGGTTCATAAGAATCAATCATTCGAGAACTGGACTACACTGGTTGCAATGTATGTTTCTGATTGACTAAAAAGAACCTGCTCAAAGGAGTCATTTACGCTATAAATTCAGTAGTATTGCTGCCATGCCACTGAATAAATAGTGCAAGAAACTACATTTTTTAGTATGGCTGCATATGATAGAAAAACCTTAACCTTAACTATTCGAATTTGTTAAGTTGCAATTCTGTAACGGCTGCAAAAAAAAAATAAAAATTCATTCATTTTCTCTGTGTTCATCAAATGTGGAAAAATTGTGGATATAAACGTCCCTGTGACTCTTCAACTACAGCTTCACTTACGAATCCAACTATTTGCCATTATACCACTAAAAATGACATTTTAATGTCCCTCTCTGCGTTCTTGGGGTTAATTTTGTTTTTTCTTGGTGTTTTACAGCTGCTGCTAAAATTCTGCCCAGACAACAGTTCTTGAACAAGTTGTTATTAGATACAGTCTAGTTTAAATCACAGCTCTGGTATCTGGCTCTCCGATGCCACAGCTAAACGGGACCCTTAATTCATTCAGACTGGTGGGGTTGCAAAGAGAATATGGGACTATCAAATGTCCACTCCCCTTCACCGACCCACTTTAGGTTCTTTTATTCATCTCTTTCCACCTCTCCATCAGGTCTAATTCAGCAGAGTCAATGGAGAGGGCAGCCAGAATCAGCCTAAGAGGGTGGATTAGGGCAGCTCAGAGAGGATGAAGACGGCCTTAGGTTTTTATGTTGTAAGAGTGGTAATTAAGCCCTACTTAACGTATTCTGTACTCTCGGAAAGTACAAATGTACTGATAGTCAAAGATAATGAGGCCCTGATAGCATAATGGGGTTAAGATCAAGATTACAAATGCAAAGATTGCAGGTTTGATGCTGGGTGGAACAAATGGCTGGGTGATACATTACTCAGAAAGATAATATACGTTTTTTAATTTCCTAAAGAATGTGTTAAGATATAGAGCGATAAAAACCTGTAAAATAGTAGTAGTCATCACCTTAGCAAGCACTTGAAAATATAGTAGATATAAAAATTACAACAGAAAAATATTCGGAAGTACCAGAAAATATAGACATATATGCAATAATTTAAATGGCCACACAAGAGAAATCATCAGCACAAGAGAAAACAAAATTCTGTCAATTCACAAAAATAACGACTCTCACATGGAGAGACAAACCTAAATGTGGGAAAACATGACAAATGTTAAACAGATTTTAACCACGTCGTCTCATGCAGCACAAAATAAATAAAAAACAAAACAAAACACGCACTATTTTAAATTACTCCCAGACTCCAAAATCCCCCCCAAAATGTTTTTGCCTTTGTTTAGCAAGGATGCATTAATTTGATCAAAAATGACAGTAAAGACATGTTACATAAACAAAATTCTGTTTAAAAAATGAGATTAACAAAAATATTAAGCAGCACAACTGCGACTGAAAAATTGAATAATGGCTGCCAAAAATTCAGCGTTGCCATAACAGGAATATATATAAAAAATAAAAATTAAAAAGAAAAAAGAAAATCTTTTCAAATATCAAAATAATTATATTTTCAACTGTAATATTTTGCAATGTTACGGTTTACTATATTTTTGATCAAATAAATGCAGCCTTATCAGAGACTTTTCAAAAACATATATTTTAAAAAATCTTTGCGACCCCAAACATTTGAATGGTAGAGAATATCAGGACTGTTCAGTACTTTAAAAAAAAATTATAAAAAAATCCTCTAGATTTTAGAATTCATTGTACTACAAGTATTTTCAGAGCTGGGCTCATGGAAACATTTTTGGCCACAATAATGCTACTCTGTCAACCACTAACAGACATCATCTTCAGTGCCTCTTCACTACACAACAGTAGTGTCAACTATCTTTATCATTGTGGGCCAGGGATCTTAAAATAGAGCTGGCTGTGTGCTGAGTCAGCACATTCTCAATGATAGATGATAGATGTAAAACTGAACACTGTGGAGGAAAGCCACTGATGGCAGCTAACTGCAAATCTGGCATGTCTGTGGTTTTCTGAAGCATTCCTCGACGAACAAACAGATTATGGGGTTGCTTCTAAATTTCAAAAATCCTTAAAACTGATCTGAAGAGCAAACAGCCACATTCTATATTTTCTCTAGAGTAAATGCCTGGAATTGTAATATTTTCACACATAATTAAATATGACAATGTTCTGTTTGGAAGAGAAGAAATCCCTTTGTCTGTCTTTGCGGTCTAAGCATGACAGTGAGTTTGCCATCCAGATCAAGAGAAGTATGTCAGACTTGTGTTTGTCATACCCATTGCTTTCTATGCTGCCAATATCTGGTGGTTATTAAGAAATATATTCATATTACTTGTTCCATTCTCATTACTTCAGATTTAATATGAAAATGGCAGATAGGATTTCACAATCTTCCTACAAAATTGAACCGTTCGCTGCAAGTCAAAGGCAAGTGTTAAGGCGCCACCTGCTGTTCATTAATAGAAATATATCGAACCAACAGATTGTGATATCAATTTTAGTTTTAGATTTTTACATTCCTTGACAAAGATAAAGTGAGCGCCGGTGCAAAATTAATTGTACAATGATGCTAGGGCATTCTAGGTGGTTAATCTAAGTCAAAAGAGCACACTATCAAGTCATTATTATTTGTGGCCCAAGTCCTTCCATGTTTGCAAGTCTGTTTTTTAGTCATTCATCACAAAAATGTGAATCGGAATCCTTAGAAAAGCATACAAACATAAAAATAACATACCTCTTCTCACTAAGCTGCACAATTTGAGCTTTTACTCATGTCTGTAGTAGCACAAACAGTGCATGTTAGTGCAAAAGTTTCATATTTCCAGTGTAGTTTGGGGTTTGTTTCAAGTATAGCAATATCAGTAAGTGATGCTTGTCTTAGCAAATGCTGCTAATGTCACCTCTGTACAAAATTATTTTCCATCTTTTAATAAAAATTTAAATATATAAACATTTTTACATATACTTTTTACATATACTTTACACTTTTTTTCCCCCTGAACATTGCTAACTTCTGTACTATAGTAGTACAATCACGTAAAACAAGAAAGAATTAAAAAATGATTACAGTAGTTGTAAAAAGGTGCATCTCTTTCATGTCATTTACCATCAGAGAACCACAGTAAACCAGGCAACTAGAAAGCAAAGACATAGAAGTGCTATTTGCATTTTCTGCCAAAAGTAGAAATAGAGCTTTCAATGCCTTGAATGCTGGAAATCTTGTGTTTCAACTCACATTTAGTGTTTCATCAGGAGAATCACACTTTTCCCATCAGCCTTCCAGTAACGCCTGGGTGTCTATCATCGCCAGCTCTTCATCATGCACCCACTTCTCCTCGCCCGGTGGGGGACACAAGGCTCGAGGTGACTCATTCTGTGGAGGTTTGGGAGTCACAGATCTCCGTGGTGGATTGAAGGTCCTGTTAATGCAGGGAGAAGCTGTATTTTTCAGAGGAGTGAGGGGTGGAGGGGATGGGATACGTGACAGGTAGTCCAAACCGCGCCTTCTTTTCAAACTTTTGGGGTCTTTTCCCTCGCTGTTACATGCAGATGCAGGAGTTCTCCTATTCAGTGGAGTGAAAGGTGAGAAAATGCTGCTCTTCTGCTGTGGGGTTACCTGGGAATTTCAACAAAGGGCATACTAAGTTGATATTGCATCTAAAGAACATTCATAAATGTGAAATAAAAATTCTTTTGATAAATAGAAATTTCAAATGAACAGCATTTATCTGAAATAGAAATCTTTTGTAACATTATTAACTTTTGAACAGCAGTGTATATTTGCATATAATTTAATAAATGTTAATAATTAATAATAACTATTATTCTTATATATGTGACCCTGGACAACAAAACCAGTCATAAGGGCAAATGAAGTTCTTAGCAATGCATATTACTAATCAAAAATTAAGTTTTAATATATTTACAGTAGGAAATTTACAAAATATCTTCATGGAACATGATCTTTACTTAATATCCTAATGATTTTTGGCATAAAAGAAAAATCTATAATTTTGACCCATACAATGTATTTTTGGCTATTGTTACAAATATGCCCCAGCGACTTAAGACTGGTTTTGTGGTCCAGGGTCACATATATTGTTAATATTAACAATAAAAATAACTACAAGTGATAATAATAAACTATCCAAAATCCAAAATTTTTTGCAATTTTCTGAAGATGTAGGGGCTTTCAAGTGTATAGAATAAACAGTTGAAGTTAATAATTACAGTGACGCTTGCCTTAACAAGCACCACTAATAAAACCAATCTTTCACCACATAAAAAGAAAACTCATACTACTAACCCTGCAATTAATTTTTGGATTAGACTGCACACAAGAAGTTCTTGGAGACTGAAATGAACCCAAGACACCTGAAGGAACCACATCTGAGACCTTCTCCTCCGCAATGCTAAAAAAATCCTCACAAGTCTGTGTAAACAACGAGCATAAGTCTAATAAGCAACAACGAAAGACATGAGGAATCACTCTTTCATTGTACACGTACATAAAAACAAAAAATTTAAAAGCTGATTCATCAACCTGGACAAAAGTCTTCAGACGGGTCATAGCTTCTTGCAGATGGGATTCTTTGGGGTTTACAGAAAATACTGCTTGTTCTCCTGCATAAAGGCTTGGCACAGGTCCAGAGTATGGCCTCGCCTGAAGATTACTAAGAGCGACCAGTGCTCTCGGCTTTACCAGCTCTTCTACAGCTAACTGCTCCAGACTACTGTAGGTTCTCACAGAGACCAGGTCAAAGTTCTCATCCACAAGATGCAGTAATGGGCAATGGCCTGAAAAGACATGCAAACAGTCACAATGTGTTTGAAGATATTAAGGATTGAGGAAACTAAGTGATAGACTCATTGGGGAAACAACAGCTTTGGCACTTGATGAAAGATGTTTTATGATGAATTAATGAAATTTACCTTGTTTGCCCTCTACTGAGACAATACATCCCACTATGTCCACCTCCCCACAAGGTGAACTGAATTGAGGGTTTTGAAGTTCTTTGAAGCGTACACATTCTCGAGCACGAAAATGCTGATGCACCCATTCTGGAGACACCTGGCTCAATCACATTTTATGTAAGACCATTTTAGATGCTTGTAATGAAAATGGAAGTGATCAGTCTGTGGTGGGAGCAAAGTTGCTGAACATTTAGTTTACCTCAACATCCTGGAAGAGTGTTTTCTTGGTGGCAGTGAACTGGATGTGAGCAATGCCTGAGCGTTTCTTCCCCTCTGATGTGGCAAGATTATACGCCCTATATCTGTGGCCCTCTCTGAGCAAGCCATACAAGTCCTGCGATGGGCGCCAGATATTCAGGGTGTAAACTAGGAAATGAAATAGCACCCAGTCATAACAATTTAAACTGGCTCCTTCAACACCTAAACAAAGTAAAGATATTCACTTGGCTCACCACAGTCGCTCTGCAGATCTTTGCCATCGGTAATGCTGAGCTTCCAAACAGGAGTTACATCTCGATTGGGACACCCACCCTCAGCCTCCTGGGCTTCCATTACAGCTTTCTGCACACGCTCCTGCAGCTCCGCCTGCCTCTTTTCCTCCAAACAGCGTCTGTACTTACTCACTGCATCCATCTGACTCGCATATAGATGGGTCTATTGAAAAGTACAAGTATATATACATATATATTATTAAAAGGTTCTATTGACCTAGTGCTGATTTATTGACCACTACTTTGTGTTTACTACCCATTGGCAAAAATATGCAAAAATGTTTGCATTAAAGTGTTGACCTCAACAGCAGGATCCCGCTCCATTGCCTCATACAACTCTTCCCCATCCTGCAGAGCTTCAACCTCATGTCGACTAAATGTCCTCTTTTGGTCTCGACTTTTCTTGTTACCTTATACGTGGAGGAAAAATACTCATCAATCCTTGTGATCCTTATATGCTTGCATACAAACCTCTGATAAAGTTTAATGTAAAAAAAAAAAACCTACCTTCCATTTCTTTTTCAAACTGGGTCTGTATTTTGGTAATAAGAAAATCCATGGATTTGTGCTTGGAGTTGCTGTGTTTTCTGGCCTCTCGATCTTCTGCACGATCGTTGCGAAATATAAAGACACCGTTAGGCTTCTTCTCCATCCACTGTTTGATGACAAAGTCAGTCATTTGTTTGGTACAAAAGCAAAATTATGAACACAAAATGTGCTTTTACAGATCAAAATGTCTCATTCAGAGCTGATGAGGTGGAGCAGACCTGAGTGGGGTAACTTCTTAACACCACAATGTTCACACAGCTCACAACACCTCCAGCAGTGAACAGTGATGATAGTGGAAAGCTGATAGGCCGAGGGTCACGATAGTAACCCAACTTAGTGTCCCACCGAGCTCGTCTTGTGCTGTTGGCTAAAATCTGAAATTCAAAAATGACAATTCAAATAAAGTCTGGCAGGATTTAGCAGTCATGGATCATCTTAGTTGAATTCCAACTTCACCTTTAGCATCAGAGATTCAGGAGCTTCCAGTGGAGGACAGGCTTCTTGTGAACCAACCAACTCGGCTCCACTGGTCACAATCTTATCACCGATTCGTAGACGGCCCTTGTTCAGCATGGCAGAGAGCGGAGGGTCTAACAGGCCTTTGATGGAATACCAGCCATCTGTGAGCCAGACCACACAGGACTCCATCTTTGCATTAGGAGATTTGTCATCTTTCACTGGCTTTTCTGGATGTTGACAAGTTTGAGCAACACCACATAAGCAAAGCACTAATGTCTTAGCTGGAGTGTCGTCCCTCTCCATGATCCTCCTGAGAGCGGATCGCTGACTGTGGTCCACCTCCACATCATATCTAAGTGCAAATATCAAAGTGTTTCAGTAATTGTCAAAAGCTTTGCGTGAAAAGGTATGAGCTTTACTGAGATTCAGTACCTGAATTTTAGCTGCAGAAGTATTTGCTCTGGAGTCAAACATAGATTACCCATCAAATCTGGAAACGTTCTTTCCATGGAGGCCCGTTTCCATACAATCCATCGGTAATGGTTGAATACCCATGCATCACTGATCAGTTTGGGATCAACACCAGGTGTGTCACACAGTGCTCTGCCAAAAAAAAAAAGGTACATTACCCAAACTAATTCCATGAAAACTGTTGTTCTGCAAGATAACACAGTGCCTTTTAGCATGTAGATGTACTTGTAGATCTACATGCTATTTGTATGCATGTTAAATGCTGTTAAAATGCACCGTTTACCTATAAAATTTGTCTTTGCCCACAGTACCCTTATTGTCTGGAACCAACCAGCCTCCATCTGCCAGTTGGACAGCACCAGTCTCCATGAGGAGCTCACATTTGAAGTCATTACAGTCAAATCTGAATGATTCAGCATTTTCACTTGTTATTAGTGAGACCTTGTGATGTACGCCATGCTGATTCAGCTGAGATGGAGAAAGATATATATATTTAAAAAAAAATTAGCAACTGTAATATACCGCCTCCAAAGTATGGTTTTGCAGTGACTTAAAACACAGTGGAATAATTAAGTATCAAAACATTTATTAAAATGTACCTCCTCCTGTGTGTATTGACCAGGACATTTGCGCCCCACAGCATCTCTCAGACCTATTCTAGGGACACCAGAAGTCTTAGCAAGGTAAAGGCTGCCAGATAGTGGACGAATAGTCTGCCTTTTCTTCTTTCTGAGTCTCATGTCTTGCATATCCCTAGCTAGGTTCAAGATCTCCCAGCATGCCTCTGTGTCTATTAACATCCCAAGAAAAAAAAAACATTAGGATTCATTGCTGTATTTAAAGAATCATTCATTTCTATCTCTATCTTTTGTGGACATGGCCATACAAATCGGTACAACCCCAATACTATGTGACAATATATATTTAAAATACAAAATTAGTAAGTAAATTTAGTAGTAAAATTACTATTAGTTAGTAAAGTAAATGGCTACCTTTCTCTTCAGAGTCCATGATTTTCAAAGGTATGGTTTCCACTGAAGTGGTTGGTTGAGGGTTAGAACCCTCATGTAGGTTCTTCCCATCACAATATTGTGCAACATTGTCACTATGTGATACAGAAGTTGTCATATTTTGGTCTATTTGATTGCTATGTTCAGTTGTTTCTTTGTTCTCCTTCTTGAAAGGTGGGATAAAACCAGTTGACACTTTAGAGACATCTTGACAGTTTGATGGCTCAGTCTTCATATCCTTTTGAAAAGGGGGCACAAACACCCCTCCTTTAGGGTCTGAGTTACGTCTATTTTGGACAGATACAGTTGAACATGGTTGCTTGAGGTCATCTGACTTTTGGTCCACAGGATGCCTGCATATTTAAGAGAACTTGTAAGAATTAAAGATGTCTTATCATATTAAAGGGGTCATATGATGTTATGCACCAAGAGCTTGAAACACTCCAAAGAGAAAGGAAAAATTGAAATCGCATCATATGACCTCTTTAAATAGTAAAGAGTTAACTATTAAAACAGTAAAACAACCTACCAATCTGGACCAGTGACATTTGGCTTGAGGTGGACATTGTAACTGAAGACACGCCTGTCTCTTAAAGTTCCTAAAACAGGTATATGTAAAAGATTTTAAAAAATTAAACAGCACCTCATAATAAAATAAAATAAATTATTTTCATTTATTTATGAATAAAAGATCTAACCGTTTGAACAGCTTTTAAGTGGTGCGAGGCCTGAGGTCTTTGTATCTAATGTCCGGTCAAACTCTGAGAGAAGTTGTCTTTTCAAAGGAGGCTGACCTGAATCTAAACAGAACAAAGTATTATATACAATGAGAGGTTAAAGAATAAAATGTATTTACTTAAAACATGTAACATTCTGTTGCCTATACCTGCTACATTTCTGGCATCAAACGGACGCTTCCTTCTCTTATGGCCAAAAGATCCCTGTGCCTGTAGATCATTAACAGATGGACATTTTTGGTCCTCTGTCAACGCCAAACTGCCTGATTCATTCAGGTCATCATCTGCCAGTAAAGCTTTAGTGCAAGCCATTGCTTCCTGCTCAAAGTACTTCTGCTGGGTGTCTGTGCAACTGTTAAAATCCAAAGAGTGCAAGTCTAGTTGTGCAGGTTCATTCTGAGTTGCTTTAGATGGCAAAGGACGCAGGGTGGTTTTGGTTTGTCTACCTTTATGTTGAGGACGGCATTTTGAGGAATCACTCTGTAGCAGCTGGCTATCAGTAACAGTAACTTGGGCGTCACAATCTCTGAATAATTTAGAAGCTTCCTCAAGGGTAGCTTTTGATACAGACACACCTTTCCCACTCGCAGTACTGAAACCATAATTTTTCTTGTTTAGTTGTTCAAACTTTAGGTTTCCATCCACCATGTCCTCACTGCTTTTATGAGAACTCTTAGCTTGAGGTGGGACTTCCTCAGATGATACATTTTCCTCTTCACAATCTTTAAAAAGACTCTTGGCCCTCTGAACTGCAGTAGCAGAGATGGCCACCTTCTTCCCACCTGCTGTAGAGAATCCTATGTTGTTTCTTGAAGAATTTTCAGGCTCATGACAAAAGGAGGTGTCATCACAACCTGCAAATGCTGCTCTAACCTCACTCAGTGCCTTTTCGGAGACTGTAACATCTTTGCCACTGGCAGTGCTGAAACCTTGACAGACTTTGTGCTGAAGATTCCCAGAAGCTAAACTCTCCTCTTCACGATCTTTAAAAAGACTCTTTGCCCTTTGCAGCCCAGTAGCAGAGACAGCCACCTTCTTCCCACCTGCTGTAGAGTATCCTATGTTGTTTCTTGAAGAATTTTCAGGCTCATGACAAAAGGAGGTGTCATCACAACCTGCAAATGCTGCTCTAACCTCACTCAGTGCCTTTTCGGAGACGGTAACATCTTTGCCACTGGCAGTGCTGAAACCTTGACAGACTTGGTGCTGAAGACTCCCAGAAGCTAAACTCTCCTCTTCACAATCTTTAAAAAGACTCTTTGCCCTTTGCAGGGCAGTAGCAGAGAAGGCCACCTTCTTCCCACCGGCTGTGGTAAATCCTATGTTTTTTCCTGAAGAATTCCCAGTCTCATGCTCATGGCTGAAGGAGATGTCACTGCAACCTGCAAATGCCGTTCTTATCTTAGTCAGTGGCTTTTTTGAGACATCACTGAAACCTTTAAAGTTTTGGTGCTGAAGATCTTCAAATGATAAGCTCTCTTCTTCACAATCTCTGAAGAGATTCTTTGCCTTTTGCAGCCCAGCAGCCGAGACAGCCACCTTCTTCCCACCTGCTGTAGAGAATCCTTTGTGTTTTCTTATAGAGCTAGTGTCCGTTTGGATATCAACAACCTGCTTTGTCTTTGGATATCCATCAGCACATGAGAAAACATCAACAGACTCAGATAACAGATCCTTACCACATTGTAGTGCTCCAGCTGAGATGGACACCTTCTTACCACTGGCAGTACTGAAACCACAGTTGCCGTTAGGAGGAAGCAACTCATAAGGATGCTTAGAAAAGTCACTTTGAAGGCCTTTCTCCTCACATACTTCTTCCTGAGGGGGTTGCTGGACTGAAGAGGGCAGCAATAAGAAGTCATCAGTCAGGTCAGAGTCTCTGAGGACAGTGTTGGCCTCCATGAGTGACACATTTGAAAATGTCACACGTTTACAGTTTGGAGTAAATGCATTTACTTGTTTGATTTCAACATCCAGTTTGTCATTGATTCCCTCCATTTTCGCAGATTCCAAGTCAATATTTCCATCACAGTCTTTAAATATGGCCTTTGCCTTCTTAAGGGCACCGGCTGAAACTGAAACTCCTTTCCCACTGGCGGTCTGAAAGCCATAGCCTTCCTCTGACTGAGGCGAAAAAGTTTCTGAGGGAAAAATCTTTGCGAAAACTTCTTTAGGATCACTGCTAGATTTCTGTTCTTGAAAGACCTTCTCGCTGTTGAAGGAAAGCTTATCCACGCCATCAGATATTTTGGTTACTAAGTGCGGCTGACTTATTTTTATAGAGGTATTACTCCAAGAAACTGCTTTTGTTTTCTTAAGGCTAGTTGTTGACATAGAGGCATCATGGTTTCCAGAAGCATGGATAGTGAGTTTCTGTGTTTGCGACTCTTCTAAGCTGTCAACATCATTAAGAAGTCTTCTTGCTTGCAGAAGAGCCTTTTCAGGCACTTTCAGCTTTGCTCCCCTGGCTGAACTAAAACCAAAATGACTATTGGAGTCAACACAAAAAACATCTGTTTTTTCACCTAAACAATTCTGCTCTTTTCCTTCATTTTCTGTCACTTGCTTATGTATCTCTTTACACGCTGCATTTACATTTCCAGAGCTGAAATTTACATCTTGTTTAATCTGAAGGTAGGTTTTATTTTCTGTGCTCATACTGTCAAAAGTACTGAATGTAGGCTCTGTTTCAACATGCTCTGGCTTTATTACTCCAATGTCCACCTTGACTTCTTTATTATATATGGCTTTTTGATCATACTCTTCAAAAAAGTGCCTTGCATTGTTTAAACTCTTTTCTGATATGCTCATAGCTTCCCCTTTAGCAGTTTTAAAACCGAAAAAATGGACTGGAGTATTATCACTGAAATGAGACTGTATACTCTTAATTCCATCAACTAAAGAACTGCCTTCAGCCACTGACAAAGGCACAATGCCATTTCGTGTTTCCTTTGACATGGTGCATGGTAATTTGGCAGCATCTACAATTTGAATATGATCAGAAGTGTTTACTGAAGAAGAGTCCGTCTTGACGGGATGCTTTCCTTTCACAACATCACAGTTAAAACTATCATCAAAGTCGATGCCGTACAGTATATCGGGATCCCACTCTTTCTCTGTAGTGTGGTTGTCTGAGCCATGATATGTTGGTTTGAACTGGGTAAATTCATGTTGACTATTTGCTTCCTCCAAAAGATTGCACAATTCTGTAACATCAGCCTTTTGAGATGCTGTCAAAGTGCCATTGTTCTCATCATCTTCACGGCTGGAGTCCACTGCGGTGGGTTTGTGTGTGCTGCTAATGTTGAACATAGTCTGCCTTTCAGCACTTCTTTTGAAATCCAATTTTTGATGAATGCACTTTGATGAGTCTGAACCTCTCCCCAATTCCTCTTTCAAAAGAGTCTCTGTTTGAAAGCCAACATTTGAAACTGTAATATTCCTCTTCGAACCGGTTTTATAATCGGATTCATTTGACTGTGGTGAAGAACAGCTTGAAATATTAATTTTAAAGCTCTTTGGACTGTCACTCCTTGGAGCATCACTAACACACAGTCTTGACGCATGGTTAGGGAAGATGGATTGTTCTATGGGCGATCTGTTTGCATTAGTGCTTCCCGAAACTGATTTGCACAATGTTTCTATCGTTTGATAATGTTTTGGAGTAGTTCCATTTAAGGTGTTGATCAAAACATCCCTTGCAGCTTCATCTAATGATGCTTTGGCCTTCATTATAGCCTTATTCGGTATGGAAATGGCCTTGTTGTTTGCCATTTTAAAAGAAGGAAAAACACACGAGGTTGTTGTACCATCCAAATCTGAAAAGGTGGTGGGGCAACCACTGTCGTGACTGATTTCAAAAGTTGTAAGCATGACTGTTGACTTGTTTTGAGAGTTCACAGATATGTCTGCTAAATTAGAAATGTCACTGTGACTACCATCTTTGTTCTTCTCCTCAAGTTCTGCTTTATGTTGCATTTGGCCATTTTGATCACTCTGTACAGCCACGTCAAGCAGTGCTCCTGGCATTATTTCTTGTGTGAAATCCTCTGCAAATGCCTTGGAAAGCGGCGTCATAGCCAGTCCTAGATCAAGATCATGGATTTCTGTAGATAACGGTTTGAAGTCTTGTGGCTGTGTATGATTATTGATTGCATTTTCACTGGCGACTGTGGATTCATTAAGGTCACTAGACACCTCTTCCACTGAGGGATTTTCTGTAAAATGCAGAGCAAAAATGTTGTTCAGAAAACGCACACAATATATTTATAAGAAAAACTTAATACATTGAACACCTTACCTTTGAGCGTTTGGTCGAAACATACTGGTTGAGTTTCTTTGGGTCCAATTACTGTCTTTGACAGATCTGAACTTGGCACTTGATACACAAACTTTCTGGACTTTCTAGAAAGCATGAAAGCAGGCGATTTGTCTAACAAAGACTTCTGACACTGAGCTCCTTCTGGATAAGACTTGAGTCTTACAGTCTGTGAAAAAGTTTGGCTACTTTCTGCAATGCAGTTGAAAACAGTACAACCATTAATTTCACTGGATGCTACAGTGCTGTGATTGTTTATCAAAGACGCGTCCGAACAGTCTCCATTAAGAGTGGATTCTGATAAACTTAGGGGGGTCCATTGAGTGATATCTTTGTTTTTGCAGGGGCTTTTTGTTTCTACATCACCCTTTAATATCTCTTCTGACTCTGAAGATAGAACAACTGATTTGACATCTTTTGAGGAATCTGTTATTCTCCTTCTGATCCTCTCTTTGGTTTTGATTCTTCGCAGAGTTGAAGTGCTGTTGCTAAAGAATATTGACAACACGTCCTCGGCACCATCAAGAACATTCTGCACTGTGTTGCGGACGTCCCCATCCTCTATAGCGCTGGGAACCTTCTGCTTCCACAGACCACTTGTATCAAGAGATGAATTTGGAGAGCAAACAGGCTTTTCTCCCAGGTCATCAGACTGAAGAGTCTCACTTTCGGCTATCACTGAAGAGAAGATAACAGAATAATCAGAATTATTCTTGAAGTTAATAATATGTGTATGCATTTCAAATTAACCATTTTATTTATTTTCTGTATAGTTTCAAATATACAGTGTCACACTCACCCTCTTGTTCTAGTGTTGTATCATTCAATGTTGCATTGCTCGCAGAGCCTTTCGAGAGAGATGGGAAGAGTTTCCGCACAAACTAGGGTGTATAAGAGTGAGAACAAGCCATCACCATTAATTACATGTTGGTAAAAACAGGCTCTCAGCATTTCATGCACCATACTCCAAAATTCTTTACATTATATATACAGAAACTTAGATTTGCACTTACAATTGCTTCCCTGTCTTTGAGGCCACTTACTGATGGAGCGCGTTCCTCTGTTTCAGCTAAAGAGAAATAAAAATAACTCTTGCTGAATAGCTCATATCTGATCAGGAGACCAGTGTAATTGCAACACATGCAATTCAATGGATTCAAGATACAATGGATTAATAAAATTATTTTTTAATGACTTTAACACTCTGACTTGTATTTGACATTCAACGTTTATTTTTTCATTGTTTTTTTCCCCCATCGCATATTATTTTACACTCTCCTCTACTAAATTCATCTAAAGAGACAAGACTTTAATTTTCATACATAGGCAATTCATTTCACACGTACGCAATATCACAGCGGGAGTCAAAGAAGATGGTGTGTTAAAGCAGCTGGTCCAGGATAAGTCAGGGTTGATTTGTGCCCCAAGGCTCTCAGATATCTGTTTTGCCGAGCGTGCCTGTAACAGAACAAACTCAGCATTATAATTAAAGTCTAGAATGCCATCTGAACTTAATGTGAAACAGTGTTTGCAACCAATTTTACTTGTGTAACGTGACATGATTCTTAAACAGGATAGGTGAAGAGGAGGGTTCAGAAATAAGAGGGCTTTAGTACTTTAATAAGAGTGACATTAGCCAAAATTTGAATGTTTTAACATTTTGCTGAAACACTATTTTTTGTTTGGACAAACATATATGCCATTAATGAGTCATGCAAAAAACATGACCAACAACATTAATTAAGGTTATAAATATGACACAACCAGTTTTGTGAACTTGTGTTGACTTACCAAAGACCTTTTTGGTGTATCCAGAAGGCCTGTGATGTCACATATGGAAGTTGTTAAAAAAAATAAAGTACAGTATATAATATTAGAACAGAAAACAATCTTGTTTTTGTTTCTTTTAAAATAAAGAAAAATTAAAGATGATCTAAAACCTGCTCACCAAAGCTATCTCTAGGTTTTTCACAGGATCTATCAAACCTTTGACTACAAAGAATAGGAAAGAAAGTTTCATTAACTTTCTGCTTGACTTTCATATTATATGAAATTTATATTCTCATACTCATGAACAGAATTACCTGTCTTTGGCTGAACCAAACAAACAAGGGCTTGATTCTGTCCAGGGAAATGCTGATGAGTCTCCATTAACCGCTGGGTGGAAACAAAACAATTATAAAGGATTATGTCCTTTATTTATACATACTTCATACATAACACAACAACTACGATACCTTCATAAGGAGACTCTTCATTAGGAATGGAAGCAGGGGACTCAAAGTGTGGCTGCTTGAATATTTTGGGTGTAGAAAACAGCTGACTGGCCAGGGCTGATGTCTCTGGTACTTTGACAGTCTTCTCCTCCTCCTCACCTTTTGAACCGTTAGGACGTCCTTCATCTCTGGAAGCTTTTGCAGTCAACTCCTCAAACCAGTCAGGATTAAGAGGTTCAAGCTCTTAATTCACAATAATTCAGATTAGTTTCAAAGATTTGAAATATGGTAGAGCTATATATATATATATATATATAGATATATATATATATATCATTATTATTATTATAAGTGTCTACCTTTGTCAATTTGATGAAAGAAATTGTCAAACATGCTGCCATGAGTGTGATGGGGTTAAATCCGAACCAAGCACAATAATGTTTTCATTGGACCTAGCGTACAGATAAACAAACAAAAACAAACATGTAAACCAGTGTATCTTCTATCTCTGACATCAATGTATCTGGTTTATATTACGTAGTTAACGAGTAACAGTTTGTCAGAGAGATTTAAGTAACTAATTAAAAGTAACTGTTCCATGTCATGCATGTCACTGTTTACTCAGCTAACGTTATCTGAACTAGCTACAAACAGGAAAACAGGTCTGGATTCGTTACCGTAAATGAACGTGTTGGCACAGATGAAAGCTTTTTGTAACTTCTGAGTTTTCGAAGTTAATTGAAATGTCTTCTTCATCTCCGATTCAAGATGTTTTATTCCCTGAAGCGTTCCGAGAGGATCTGTTCATTCTGCGCGTGGTGGATAAAGCTGGTTTAACACATCCCGCCAATAAGCGCCGTGTCGTCAACAGAAGAGCTGTTGTCTCGACCAATCAAAATGCGAGCGTCAGTTCAGGGGGCGGACTTGCAGCACTGAATCGAAACTGGAAATAGTTGATTACAGATTTATTAAGAGAGAGAGAGAGAGAGAGGGAGAGAGAGAGAGAGAGAGAGAGAGGGGAGAATTTCTTTGCGTATATTCTACTCTAATCTATTCTATGCTAAAACTTATTTTAACTTTTTGAATTACTTTAATAATAAAAAAGAATTTAAATTAAACTTTTCGTTTTATGTTATAATACATGATGGAGTGTGCATAGTTTTGGACAGTTTGTTCAGTAGTTTATATTTTTTATTTACAAATTATTGGTAGTTTATATGGTATAGTCTCTATTCACATTGAGTAGATAAAAGTTTTTCTTCCTCATTTGAAGCATTTTATCACCTGTTATTTTATTTACTTCTTTATACTTTATGCTTATTCCATAAATAATGAATTAGTATCTAAAAAAAATTCATTTGCACACGTTTGTTTTAGACACTTTTATGTTAGATAACAGTTATGACACATAATATCTAAACAAAAATTAGAATTTTGTCTGTTAAAAAAAACAGAAACATGTTTTAAAAAACAGTCATGTGAAAATGCAAGAAATAAATATATTTGAGGTTGTGCCATTTCACTGTCAACAAGCCAAAGACATACAATTTTTGCCTTTGAGTGTCTTTATTATTTCCGTTGTGGTGCACCAGAGGGCGCACTACCATAAAAATACTACATAATGCATTGCTTGATTTCAGTTTTGATCCTCTCATTTAAGATTACCTTTAGGAAAAAAGTCATTTAAAGGGGTCATATGATGCGATTTCAAGTTTTCCTTTCTCTTTGGAGTGTTACAAGCTGATTGTGCATAGATAAGATCCCTGAAGTTGCAAAGACTAAAGTCTCAAAACCAAAGAGATATTCTTTATCAAAGTTAAGACTCTGCCACGCCCCCCTAAAATGGCTCGTTCT